ACTTCTGGGGACCACGTATTGAAAAATCACGACATCGGATCTCAGGGGAAGGAGCAGCCTTCTCAGAAGGCTCGGAAGTCCCCCGGCCTTCTGACAAGCTTTCTAGGCCTTCCCCGAAGACGCAGACAGCTTGTCGGAAGGCGCGAGGCCTTCTGGGAGGTCCCGCCGCCTTCTGAGAAGGCCTTCTCCCTCTCGCTCTCCCCCCCTCGCTTGCCGCCGAAAACGGCTCCTGGACGATAGGAAGCTGAGCATCCGGCTGGGCTCGTGCCGCCGGATGCCGCCTTGCGATGCCTCCCCTGTCCCAGACCCCCGAGGTCGTGACTCCCAGGAGTCTGGACCCCATCGTCCCCGGGGACCGGACTCTCCTCCGGCCCCCCGGGCACAGAACAGAGTGCAAAAAACCTCACGCCGTGATTTCTGTCACGACTCGATCTGGGTGCACGGTGTTCCCCCGGGGCCGCAGGGGTCCCCAGGAGGAGGGGGAGGAGGCGGAGGAGGAGGGAGGGAGGGAGGAGGGAGGGAGGGAAACGGAGGAGACGGAGGAGGAGGAGGAGGAGGAGGAGGAGGAGGAGGAGGAAGAGGAGGAGGAGGAGGAGGAGAAGGAGGAGGAGGAGGGGGGGAGGGTGGAAGGGCTGCATCCTTCGGGCTCCCTCGCCCCGCGCAGCAGCAGCGGGGGTAGGAGGAGGGGCAGAAGCACATAGAGGGGCTCTGGTTATGCTGCTCCCATCGTACTTAAGGACCACATCCCAGAGATAATTTCGAGCACCCGGAAGAGTGTCGAAAGAGTGTCGAAATCGTGTCGAAACAATGTCGGACGAGTGTCTCCCAGGGCCCGACACGTGAAAACCTTGCGTTTTGGGGGTGCTTGCCTGGCGCTCGACATTCTTTCTAGTGATCAAGGGTACAGTAGGTTGGAACATCATAAGGCTCTGGGGTATACCTGCGGGCCCCCGCGTCCTCCTCCTCCCCCTCTTCCAAGGAGGAGTAGTCGGGACAGTGGATGAGTAGTGATGCGGAGGAGGTTCGTCTTCTTCTTCTTCTTGATTCGTTTGTGTCCTGTTTGCCAGGTGTCTTCTCCCCAACCCCGAGCTCGCCTGCGGCAAGCAGCAGCACCCTGGTGATGTCAAGTCTGTCACCCTTTTGTAGAGGGGCTCCGGGCACATCTGCGGACCCCCCGGCGTCCTCCTCCCCCGCGCCGGGCCCGGGCGGGAGCTCGGGGCGCCGGCCCACCAGCTCGAAGAGCTCCGTGGGCTGGGTGCGGCCCTTCACCTGCGGGGCGCGCGCGAGCATCGGCACGGCTGCCGGGGGACTCTCCGTGGGCTCAGAGGCCCGCCTCGCGCCGTGGGACAAAAAAAATATCCCAGTGCGACCCTACCTAGGAGTTGGAGCCCCTAGGAAAGCAGCATTAGTAGTAACAGAAAAGCTAAGCTAAAGCTAAGATAAAGCAGAGCTAAAGCTAAGCTAAAGCTAAGCTAAAGCTAAGCTAAAGCTAAGCTAAAGCTAAGTTAAAGCTAAGCTAACGCTAAGCTAAATCTAAGCTAAATCTAAGATACAGCTAAGCTAAAGCTAAGCTAAAGCTAAGCTAAAACTAAGCTAAAACTGAGCTAATGCTAAGCTAGAGCTAAGCTAGAGCTTAGCTGAAGCTAAGCTAAAGCTAAGCTAAATCTAAACTAAGGCTAAGCTAAAGCTAAGCTAAAGCTAAGCTAGAGCTAAGCTAGAGTTAAGCTAGAGCTAAGCTAAAGCTAAAGCTGACGCTAAGCTAGAGCTAAGCTAAAGCTAAGCTGAAGCTAAGCTGAAGCTAAGCTAAAGCTAAGCTAAAGCTAAGCTGAAGCTAAGCTAAAGCTAAGCTAAAGCTAAGCTAGAGCTAAGCTAAAGCTAAGCTAGAACTAAGCTGAAGCTAAGCTAACGCTAAGCTAGAGCTAAGCTAAAGCTAAGCTGAAGCTAAACTGAAGCTAAGCTAAAGCTAAGCTAAAGCTAAGCTACAACTAAGCTAACTATAAGCTAAAGCTAAGCTAGAGCTAAGCTAAAGCTAAGCCAGAGCTAAGCTGAAGCTAAGCTAACGCTAAGCTAGAGCTAAGCTAAAGCTAAAGCTGAGACGAAACTAAGCTGAAGCTAAGCTAGAGCTAAGCTAAAGCTAAGCTAGAGCTAAGCTGAAGCTAAGCTGAAGCTAAGCTGAAGCTAAGCTAGAGCTAAGCTAGAGCTAAGCTGAAGCTAAGCTGAAGCTAAGCTAAATCTAAGTTAAAGCTAAACTGAAGCTAAGCTAAAGATAAGCTAAAGCTAAGCTAACGCTAAGCTAAAACTAAGCTAAAGCTAAGCTAAAGCTAAGCTAAAGCTAAGCTGAAGCTAAGCTAAGCTGGGTGAACCCAGGGGGCGCAACTGGGGGAACCGCGGGGCGGGGACTGGGGGAACCGCCTGGGGCGCTTTCCATTGCCCGGCCCCTTTAAGCTAGAGAGTAAGAACCCTTCTAGGCAGAGCCTAGGTAGGGAAAACCACCAGAGGAATCCCAGAGGAAAGCCCCGAGCAGTGGGTGGCTTGATGAGGTCGAAGGTGAGATCGATTGGGTGAGATGAACCGATCGGTCGTGAGATCGATTGGGTGAATCGATCGTGAGTGGATGGGTGGGGTGGATTGAGTGGATTGAGTGAGATCGATTGGGTGGATTGAGTGAGATCGATCGTGAGATCGACTGGGTGAGATGGGCGGGGCGCACGAGCATCGGCACGGCTGCCGGGGGGCTCCGTGGGCCCAGAGGCCTAAGTCGAGCGGGTCCCCCATACAGGGGGATCTTCGACGAAAAATAGAAGAATGCTCAGAACATATGCCAACAGTGTCGAAAAATGCTCAGAAAATAGTCCCCAGACTATTGTTTGACTATTTTTTATATTCCCACTGTAGAGGGACAAGGCCGACTTGAGCCTAGGCCCCCATCGCGTCGTGGAACAAAAAAAAACACAAGAGGAAAGCCCCAAGCAGTGGATGGTCTGTTGAGGTCGAAGGTGAGATCGATAGGGTGAGATGAGTATAAAGTGAGATCGATCGTGAGATCGGGAATGAAACGTGGGATCGATGAAGAGATCGATACGGAGATCGACCGGGAACCCAGGAACCCGGGATCCTGGACCCAGACCCCCTCGCGTCGTGAAAACGTCACGACGTGAGGCTTTTCGCTCTTTCCTGTGTCTGGGGGGCCCTCAGCGGGCCTCGGGCCGTCCAAAAACGTATTGAACACATCAAGACGGAGGTTTTTCGCAAAGTTCGGCCCCTAATTAGGGCCCTCGCCGGGCCTCGGGACCGTCAAGAAACGACTCTGGAGGAGAATCGGGTGCCCAGGAAGGGGCCCAGACTTCTGGGAGTCACGTCATGGAAGCATCTCGGCGTCGGGGGTCTTGGAATCTTGCCATCGCTCGGACGTCCACTCCCCGTGCATGTGTCGGTCTCGCGCGTGCTGTCTTGCGTGCGACAGACATCATCGAAGGGGGCTCCTCGACGGTCCGCGCCTGAAAACACCAATGCACACGTCCGAGCGACGCCACGGGATCCAGCGTGTGGGGGCCAGACTCATGGATCGGGGAGGGCGCCCTCCGAACAGTGAGGAGTCAGTGCCCCGTCGTGTGGCGACGCAGCGCGCCGAGGTCGTGTGGGAACCCTGAGCTCCGACGTCGTGTTTTTTCCATACGGGGTCCCCGTAAGCCTCGACCCGTTCCCCAGGACCGGTTTTTTCATCCTGAGTCGTTGTTTGACGGTCCCGAGGCCCGGCGAGGGCCCCTGGGGGGGCCGAAGTTTGCGGAAAAACCTCCGCCGTGATTTGTCCAATGCGATGGATCTCTGGGGAGGGGGCCCGTCGCTAGTCTCCACGCTCCTCGAGCCATGCTTGCGCTTTCTCCCCCTCATCACCGTGACGAGGTCGATGGGCCGGGTGTCGCCAAGGAGGTGCCCCATGGCCCAGGGGGTCCCCAGGAACTCCCGAGGACACAGACCTGGTGGGCTTGTTTCCCACAGCCCCCACATAAGCAGGAGGGGGAGGGGGTCCTCCTCCTCCTCCTCTCCTCTTCCTCCTCCTCCTCCTCCTCCTCCTCCTCCTCCTCCCCTCCTCCTCCTCCTTCTCCTCCCTCCTCCTCCTCCTCCCTCCTCCTCCGTCTCCTCCTCCTCCTCCTCCTCCTCCTCCTCCTCCTCCTCCTCCTCCTCCTCCTCCTCCTCCTCTACCTCCTTCCCCCCTCCAGCTTATGGTCGTGGCGGTGGTGGAAAACAGGCCCGTCGAGACCCCCGGCGTCGCTTTTTCGTTTCACGACATGACCCTCAGAAGCCTGGACCCCTGACCCGGGGACCGGTCCCTCCTCCTGCATCGCTTTTTGACGGTCCCGAGGCCTGGGAAGGGCCCCCGCCGAGACCGAAAACGGCGAGAAACCTCGCAGTCGTGCCCTTCTCGGTGCAGGGGAGGCCGCTGGGTGGCCTCCTCGGAGCACCCCTCACGAGGCCGCAGGAGGGCCCCGGGGAGCCAGGATCGCGCGAGCGCCTGGGGACACCCTGCGGCCGGGGCCACCGCCGGCAGCACCCGAGCTGGGGCGGAGCAGGAAGCGCTCGGCCACGCCCGGCGAGGTGTGGACGTTTTCCTGCGAGGACGGCGCACATGCACCGTACCGCGTCTGGGCTCCGCTCCGGCCCCGCTCCCCAGACCTCCTCGCGTTGTCCAAAGATCACGACGTGACGTTTGTCGGTGTTTTCTGAATCTGGGGGCCCTCACCCGTCAAAAATCGACTCAGGATGAAAATCTGGTCCCCAGGAAGGGGTCCAGACTTCTGGACGTCACGGCATGAAAAACATCACGACGTCGGGGATCTGGGTGCAGCGTGCCATGTCTGGATTCCGTTCAGGCCCCGCTCCAACGCGGTACGGAGCATAGCTTGTTCGCTCTGAGGTTCTGAAGCCCAGAAACGAGGCACCGCACAATCGAAACGCTGTCATAAGGAACCCTACGCAAGGAACAAATCCTTTTTGTTCCATAAGCTACACTTCGATTCCCAATAGAAACCTAAGGAACACCTAAGACAAACTGTAAAACAATTAAGGGACACTGAGCCCCTCCCCAACGAAAAGCGTTCCTTCTTCAGCGGCCCGACTGTACCATTCCTGGGTCGAGAATCGACGACGCCTCGGGAGACGCCAACGCGGTACGGTGCACACGCGTCGTCTGCGGACGTCCTCCACTAGCGACCCCACGCCGTAGCGCCTGCAGAGGCCCTCCAGGCGGGAGGCGAGGTTGACGCTGTCGCCCACGAGGCCGTACTTCATCCGCTTGCTGCTGCCCAGGTTCCCAGACAACACTCGGCCGCGCGCCAGGCCCATGCGCATCCTCATCTCTGGCAGCCCGCGGTCCCTCCACCGTGCTGTGGCAACTCAGGGGAGCCTCCCGTGTCAACTTGCTGGCTGGTGCGAATCGACGCTTACCGACGCTGATCGACGCTGAGCGAGGCTTAGCGACGCTGAATCTGCGCCAATCGGTGCTAATTCGGCGCTTTCTCATCGATTACCAGGCGCTAGCGCACGCGAGAGCACTCCAAAGACGGAGCTTCGAGGACATGTGAGGCTCCCCTGGTTTGCCACCGAACCTCCACTGAGCGTTCAGATTGGCCAGCCGCCGCTGCTGACTCAGGGCCGCGGCCACCGCCGCCTCGCTGTGGCCCTCGCCATACTCCAGCGGCGGGGCGTTCCACCAGGCCATGATGGCGTCGCCGATGAACTCGCCCACGACGCCGCCGTAGCTCATCACTATGTTGCTCATCTCCTCGAGGTAGGTCCCCAGCAGCTCCATGAGCTGCGCCGTGTCCATGCTCTCCGCCATCGTGGTGAAGCCGACGAGGTCGCTGAAGAAGATGGTCACGTCGGCCGGGGCCATGCCCAGCTGCGCCTGGCGCTTGCTGCGCACCAGGATCTGCACCAAGTGAGCGTCCATGTACCTGGCGCGGGCGATGGTGACGGAAGGAGGGCGATGGGGAGAGTGAGCTTGGCATGAAGAAGAAAACGGGCCCTGACGGAAACGGGCCCTGGAACCCTGGGCCTCCCTCCAGGGCCAGGTCTGCAGCCTGGGTAGTCTGCTGGGGGAGAGGAGGAAGGGAGAGTACGGACTTCCTCTTTCTCTCTCTCTCTCTCGCTCTCTCTCTTCTCCAGCGGTTGCCACACCACCCACGCCGCCCTCCACAACGTTGCCCCTGCCTGATACCGAACCTTCGAACTTCAACCTCTGTTTCATTTCGACGCCTGGCTTCCGCACGTCCGTGCATAACCGCGCATATGGCACTTTGGGACGCCTCTGGATCATCAAAATGATCCTAGTACGACCTCCCGCCGATGATCCAGACGAGACCGCGCGTTGACGCTGACGCGCGAGTTGTCCACGAAGGCCCCATCGGCTCGTGGAGCGAGGTAGCATCGAGAGCCCTGGAGCTCTCCCGTGACCAGCGGAGGCCAACGCAGCAAAAACTTAACCCGGGCCATATAGGTCATCGATCTGCCGATGACGCGCCAGCCCAGGCCAGGCCAGCTCCACGTGGCTCCCCAGGCCCGGGCCATCCGAGAGGGCTCGTTGTCGTCGATCGCCGTCGTCGTCGTCGTCGATCGTCGTCGCCGTCGATCGTCGCTGCCGGTCGTCGTCCTCGTCGGTCGTCGGTCGTCGTCGCTGCCGATCACGAAGAGGACTTGCCGACTCCTGTCTGTCAGCGCCAGCCGCTGAGCCCCGTTTCGGTCGGGAACCTCTGCTTGGCGTGTCGCGGCGGCGGGCCCGGCGGCACGCCATGCCCCGCGAGCGGACAGCGTGTCGCTCCGCGCCGCGGGGCGGGAGGCTCCGGCGAGGCTCGGGACGTCGACGCCTGCGGCCTGGGGCGTGGTCGGCGCCTCGCGCCGCAGCGAGCGAGGCGAGGACCCGCGGCGCGGCACGCCGAGGCAGACGTTCCCGACCGCACGTGCGCCCCCCCCCCTCCCCCTCCCGCGCAGGGGCCTGGCGAAGGACTGCAGGCCGCCAGCCTGGGGGCAGCCAGAAAGAGAGAGAGAGAGAGGGAGGGAGACGAAGGGGGCGGAGCGGTCGGGGGTGCGCCCCTCCCGCCACGCGGACTCCCTGCCTCCCTCCATCCCTCCCTCCCTCCCTCCTCCTCCTCTCCTCCTCCTCCTCCTCCTCCTCCTCCTCCTCTCCTTCCTCCTCCTCCTCCTTCCTCCTCCTCCTCCTCCTCCTCCCTCCTCCTCCTCCCTCCCACTCCTCCTGCCCCTCTCCTCCCTCCTCCTCCTCCTCTCCTCCTCCTCCTCCTCCTCCTTGCTCATGCTCTTGCTCTTCCTCTTTCTCCTTCTCCTCCTCCTCCTCTTAGTCCTCCTCCTCCTCCTGCCTCCTGCTCTGCTCCTCCTCCTCCTCTCCTCCTCTCCTCCTCCTCCTCAATCTCTCTCCTCTCCTCCTCTCCTGTTTTGCTCTTGCTCTTCCTCCTTCTCCTTTTCCTCCTCCTGTCCTTTCTCATTCTCTCCCTCCCTCCCTCCCTACTCTTCCTCCCTCTCCTCCCTCTCTCCCTCCCTCCCATCTCATCTCCTCCTCCACCTGGTCCCCCTTTCTCCTCCTCTTCCCCCTCCCCCCTCGTCCCCGTGCGTTATGACACCGCCTTCCTCCTTTTTTGTTGGGGGGCGAGCTGGAGCGACGTGGCTGTAGGGTGCATATGACGAAGCGGATTCCGACGCAAGTGAACAGGCAGTGCAGTGATGAGCTCATCGGCGAGTGCAGACCCCGAAGTGCAAAAATCGCAAGGGGAAAACATAACAATCAGATACGTAAGCCTAGGGGGGGGGGGGGGCAAAAATAACGCTGCCAAGAACTGCGGTGGAGGAGAGGAGCAGAACCTAGTCCTTCTACTCCTCCTCCTCCTCCTCCTTCTCCTCCTCCTCCTCCTCCTCCTCCTCCTCCTCCTCCTCATCCGCTTCCTCTCGGCTCCGCCTCCCTCGTTCGATCACAGGGGGCAGAAGTGACGCTGCCAACAACCGCGGTGGAGGGGAGGAACGATACCGAAGAATGAATGCATCGCCAGAACCACGCGCGCACTTCGCGCGCGCTTGGGTTCTGGCCCAGCCCGTGGCGCTGTGACGACACGAAGGCCCGGGTTTGCGGGCGACTCGCCGTCGGAGGAGGGTTGCGACCATCTTGGGCCGGTCATGGGATGCAGTCGTGAGTCGTGCGTCGTGGGTCGTGCGTCGTCGACGTCATCGTCGTCGGCGGCGGCGTCGTTGTCATCGTTGTCGTCGTCTTCATCGTCGTCGTCGTCGTCGTCGTCGCCCGGAGGGTGGGCTTGTCATGGACATCCTAATAATTTTCCCGGGGCGAGGAAGGGGGAGGGGGGATGGTCTGGCCGGTCCTCCCTTCTAATTTTCTCAGGGGTGGGGAAGGGTTCCGGACCCTCCCTGCTAATTTTCCTGCGGTGGGGGGGTCCGACCCCCCCCCCTCACTAATGTTCATGGGGGGGGGGGGCCGGGGCGTTACCACTACGGGGGGGGGGAGGGGGAGGGTAACATGCGTTATCCCTTGGGTGGATAAACAAATGGTCTCCTCCCCCCCTGATTTTGAAGAGGAGGGGGCCCCCCCCACTGCCTGCAAGCAGCGGCAGGACGCGCCCTTTCCTGTGTCTGTTCACGGTGTGAAGCCCTCGGGGACATCCTCGCAAAGCCTGGCACATTCGCCTTCAGATGTTGCTCGGGCGCTTCATGGACATAGGACGGCTCCTCTTCCAAATGTGGAAATCGCCAGAGCCCCGCGCACACTTGGCGGCGCACAGAGGTGGGTAGGGGGAGGGGGGAAGGCTTCTTAGAAGGGGGCTGCTTCTTAGAAGAGCCTGGCCTTACATCTATAGACAAGGCCCGCGCCTGCTAAGAAGCAGGGGCGCTTCTAAGAAGCCTCCACTCCTCCCCCTACGTACCCCCCTCTGCGCATGACCGGCACATTCGTCTCAAGAGCTTGCAACCGCTACGAAGACTCTTCTGGCTGACGCCCCGGAAATGGTGTGTCGGCACGACGTAGGCAGGACCGGGAGCAGCAGTTACTCTTTGGTTCGCGGCGTTGAAATCCCAAGAACGGTGCTCTGGCAAGATTCAGGATGGTCAGGACGCAACCGTAATTTTGATTCGCGGAGTTGAAGTCCCAGAAATAATTAGTGTTCTGGCACGGTTCAGAATTTTCACACGGTCGTGGTCCAACGGAGCACTTCCCTCAGTGAAAATAAATCCTTGTCGAGGCGTATGGAGAGGGGGATTCGGAAGAGGGTGTGTTGCAACATCGATGGTGATGCGTGGATTTGCACTGGTCCTCCTCCACCTCCTCCTCCTCCTGTTCCTGTTCCTATCTGTTCCTCCTCCTCCTCCTCCTCCTCCTCCTCCCCCTTTTCTTTCTCATGATGTCATCCTCCTCCCTTCCTCCCTCCCTCCCTCCCTCCCTCCCTGCCTCCCTCCCTCCTCCTCCCTTATCCGTTGCTTCCCTCCCTCCCACTTCCTGGCCGGAGCGCACCTGGACCTCTGCCGTGGCGGCGGGGGCTTGGTGGTCCAGAGAAGAAGAGAAGAACGCGAGGGAAAGGCACCTGCATCTGCAATCCTCGATCTGCCGCCTGCCGGTTCAAGGTCCGTCCCGGCCAATTGCCCGTCTAGGATCGACCCCTGCTGGCCCCAGGGCCCGAGATACACTGCACTCGAGCTTCGATCCTCAAACCTCGGTGTCGGCAAAGTTTTCTCCTCCGAGCCTCCCCGCGGAAAGCTGCACAGGATGCCATCGCAGCGCATGTGAAGGACGGGCGGTGAGGACTCAAGAGGCCCTTGGAGACCGCAGGCGGGATTTTTGGGGGGGGCAACGGGCGATGCGTCCGGGACGGGCCCCGCAGAGGTAGGGACACAAGGGTACTCCCTCCTCCTCCTCCTCCTCCTCCTCCTCCTCCTCCTCCTCCTCCTCCTCCCTCCTCCGTCCTCCGTCCTCCCTCCTCCTCCTCCTCCTCCTCCTCCTCCTCCTCCTCCTCCTCCTCCTCCTCCTCCGTCTCCCCCTCTTGTCTTGTTCCTCTCTTGTCCGTGTCATTCTCTTGTCCTGGATGAAGGCGCACGTCCTTACCAGGCGCGTTGACTGTATGCTTCTGGACCCCTCGCGGGGTCTGTCCTGGCCAGGTTCTCCTCCTGGGTTCAGGTCGGGCATGTCCTCCTACAGGCGGACTATGCAAGAAAACGAAACCAGACTCCAAGAATGCTGAAAGAATGAGAAGAGCATGAAACATCGTCACCAGACCATCTTCCCTCGACTCTCGCATACTCCTGCTGTCGAGGGACGTGCCCGACATCCCGGGCTGATTCTTCCCACGGCCCTGGGGCCCGCGGGCCGAGAGCGACGAGCACCCCCCCATCCTCGAGCCCCAGCTGCTCCTCCCGGATCGATGCCCGGAGGCACGGGCCCCGACAGCCGGCCCGTGGGGGCCGAAGCCGTGGAGCGGCGCACCTCCTCGGAGCTCGGCGTCGGCACGGCGGATTCGCGGCGTGGCGACGTGGGCACACTCCGACGGGCACACTCCGAGAGCGCAGGTGGCTCGGTGTCGGCCGGCTCTGGGCCGCCCGTGCTGGGGTCGCCGGTGCATCGACACGGCACGAACCTGCCGTACCTGTCTTTCGGGGGAGGTTGGCAGAAGCAGTGAGCAGGAGGGCGCTGAAAGCAGATCGGTCTGCGGCCCGCCCGCTGAATTGAGCGGAGGTATGAGCAGCATCCGATTGGTGTGATCACAGGGAGGCGGCCAGTCGTCCACCGACCCCCGCTTGCCAGGGGTGACAAGGCGTGCGAGATGATTGGCTTGCCCCCCTGTCCCCCATCCTCCTCCCTGGGGGAGGGGGGTCCTGAATGCCGTTTGTGGAGGGGGCGCGGGGGGTCGACGGGCTCCCGAGATCGCGTCTCCTGGCCATGCGAGCCTCCAAATCCACTCTCGACAGTACCCAGGATTTGCCCTGCGAGATGGCTCGAGAAGCCCCCCCCCTGCGCGGAAAGACTGGTCAAAGCGGCCACGGAGCTTCCAAATGAGACCCCCGAAAGGTCCGATGGGATTCCGAAGTCTCAAAGTGGCTCCAGCATCCGCTACACCCCTGCTTAGAGTTAAGAACATGTTACGCTAAGAAAGTGGACCTCACACCAGGCGCTCTCTTAACCAGTAGCCCAGGTCCACAGATACGAAAACTCGACGAAGAAACGAAGCTCCAAGAGAATGCCCAGGGTCCAGTCCAGATTCCAAATTTTCCTAAGCGAAATCTGGAGTCCATGGAATCCGATGGTTTTACTTAAGATGTCTGGTCGGTGTATAGCAGCCTCAAGAGGGGCCCAGGGCGCCCCAAGATGGCCCAAGAGCCGAAAGGTCGGGCCCCCAATGGGGGACCCTAACGTAAGGACCGCCGATCTAAGGACTCCGACTCATGCCATCCAGGATGGCTCTCAGAGGGTCTCCAGGGCACCCAACAGGGACCTCCAACAGCCCCAGGAGGACAACAAAGACTCAAAAACGGGCTCCGAGAGACCTCCAATATGACTCCAAGAGGCTTCTACTCAGAGGACTCTGAACGGATCATTTGCTTGCATGCTGTTTTACTATGTGCTTATCTGCTGTCCCTTCTACCACCGTTCGCCTGGGCAGAATTGTTGGATGGGTTGCTGGGGTTACGGGAAGCGCCCGAGATTATACCACCTCTGGGGGGTCGGCGGCGAAATGGCGTAAGCCTCTTGGGTAGACCGGGGTCTAGAGTTCCAACAAAGCCCTTGCCCTGGCGCTAATTCTCGAAGCCGGCACTGCTCGCAGGGGTGAAGACATGGAACCGAAGGACTTGGGGCCACAGATCTGGCAGAGATGGGCGCGCTTCCCCCCGACGCCGACCGCCGCCCTCAAGCCGCCTCGACTCCAGTCGGCCGAAATCTCAGCCGGTGCCCACAGACAGTCCACAAGCGGCGCGAGCGCTCGCTTTTTTTTCTCCTCCGCCCACAGCCATGTAGGAGAAGGAGTCGCAGATCTCCGCGATCTCCAGGGCACCCAACAGGGACCCAGGGTCTCCAGGAGTCGCCAGGTTCTCCAGGGCACCCAACAGGGACCTCCAACAGCCCCAGGAGGACATCAAAGACTCCCAAACGGGCTCCGAGAGACCTCCAATGTGACTCCAAGAGGCTTCTACTCAGAGGCTTCTTTCTCCTCCGCCCACAGCCATGTAGGAGAAGGAGTCGCAGATCTCCGCGATCTCCCGGATCTCGAAGGTGCGGTGCCTCCTCGCGCCTGCGCCCGCCGCGCGCGCCGGCGGAGGCGCGAACGCGCGCCCCACCGTGCCGCCCTCCGTCCCCCCTGCACCTCCTGGTGGGTCAGCCGGCCTCCTCCGTGCTCCGTCCTCTGCCTTCTGCCTTCCTCCTCCGTGCTCCGTCCTCTGCCTTCTGCCTTCTGTCCTCCTCCTCCTCCTTCTCCTCCTCCTCTGCCTTCTGCCTTCTGTCCTCCTCCTCCTCCTCCTCCTCCTCCTCCTCCTCCTCCTCCTCCTCTGCCTTCTGCCTTCTGTCCTCCTCCTCCTCCTCCTCCTCCTCCTCCTCTCTCCTCCTCCTCCTCCTCCTCCTCTCCTTCTCCTCCTCCTCCTCCTCCTCCTCTCCTCCTCCTGTATTTTTCATGAACAACTGATGCGCGCCGCACCCCGGAACGTGTCGGTAGGGCGGGCTGGGCGTTCCGCCGGAGAACTCCCCACCACGGAGCGCCCCTGCGGCCTGGAGTCCGCAACGGCTTCGAGGATGGAGCAGAGGTGCTGCTCAACGCGTGGCTGAAGCACCAGTGGCTTTCAGAGTGTGGATCTCGCCGTACCGCCGCCGCGCACTCTCGTCATACAGTCGGGGCGTTGACCTAAGGAACCATAAATAAGGAACGAGGCCCCTATTTTCCATAAGTTGAACTTCGATTTCGTATCGAAAACCTGAGGGAAATCCAAGGCAAGCTGCGAAACAATTAAGGAACACGGAGCCCCTCCCCAACGAAAAGGGTTCCTTCTTCAAGGCCCCGACTGTAAGAACATTCAGCAGCATAGTGGATGGATGAGGGCCTTTTCAATGTGGCGCTCGTTATTCGCCGTGAACTTTCGGCTTACAACTCTGCAGTGGCTTCAAGGATGGATGGGGCGGGGACTTACAAAACATGTGGCGCTCGTTTTAGCTCCGCGCACATTCGCCTCAAGAGTTCGCAACACCTTCATTGGAACGGAATAGTTTTCAAAATGTGACCCTCGCTTGAGCGGCGCGCGCCTTCGCCTTACACAAATGCAACCAGCTTCTGTATGCTTTCAAAAATGAAAGGGGGGCGTTTTCAAGCTGATGCGGTGTCGCCTGATCACCGCGCAGCTTCGTTCTAACAGCTTGGAATAGCTTCAAGGATGGAGGGCGATTTCCTTTCAGAGTGGTGCTCGCCCCGAAGCACCGCGTGCACTCGTCTCCAGATCTTGCAACAGTGACAGGTACAAACCATGTTCAAAATGAGCTCTCGCCTTAGCGCCACGCGCATGTTATTTTACGCAATAGTTAGAAGGATGGAAGGCTGCTCTTTTCAAAATGGAGCTACCGCTCGAAACTCCGGTCAACTCAAAGCCCGAATCGTCAGCACATGTAGCACTGCACAAATCTGGGGCGGCTCTATTGTAACATGGGGATGTTGATTGAGATTTCCTCGAAGTCCATGACCACAAACAGAGACCCGTGCAAAAGTTGCACGGGTGGGTGGCGGTCCTGCTTCGCTGACACCTCGTGGAACTCCATGACCCGTGCTTCTCGCAGTCCTGGCCATGCGCCACGCGGTTTCACGGCAGCTTCATTCCAAAGCGGGACCCTCGCGAACATGGCAGGTACAACAGTGCTGGTATTTGAAGAGGGCGCTACTTGTAATGAAGAAGAAAGCACGTAGGGACGTCTGAGGAGGAACTTGGGACGGGAGGGTGTATTGCAACATCGCTGATGCATATTGGGTTTACACACTACGGTCCTCTTCCCTCCTCCTCCGTCCTCCTCATCCACCTGATCACTCTCCCTCCTCCGTCCTCCTCTCCGTCCTCCTCAACCCCTACTCCTGATGAGTACATGGTCCCGCTCTGCCACCTGACCAGCCGATGGCCAGCCAATCCAGGCCCGTCCATCTTAGCAGTAAACTCAGCATGGACGGTGCCGTCAACGTGGCAGAAGGCGGCACGCCTGGCGCGGCGCAAGCTGTTCGCTGGCAAGCTCGCCGGCACGCGAGCACGCAAAAACTTCAGCTCTCGCCTCGGCGCCGCGCTCTTCTCCTCTGAGAGTGGCGCTCCCGCTGCGGCGCGGCGCACATGACTGCCTACCAGGCCACCCCAACCCAACCCGAGGACCCGAATTTCGGGTTGGGGGGGCGGGGTACGGGTTCCGCACGTGTTTTGCCAGTGTTCCCCGACCCCCCCCCCACCCCCCACTGGAAATAGAGAGCAAATCGGGGCCTTCGGGTTGGGTTGGGGTGGTTTGCTGGGCGGTAAGCATACTGTTCACTCGCCGAGTCGTTCGGGGGGATGAGGGGGGCCGCGCGCAAGCAGGCGCCTTGCTTCGTGCAGACTTCTCCTCTCCTGCGGCGCACTTTCCGCTCGCCGATCTCGCACGAGAGCGGCAGCGGCAGCGGCAGCGTGACCGCGCGAGACTGGGCAAAATGCCAGCCACCCTGCGCCACAGCGCAGCGCAGCTGTTACGTGAGGGTGGCAGTGCTGCTTCGGCGCGGCGCATGCCTCGTCATGCTTCGCGGGCTGGATGGCGCTTTCGCCGTAGCGCTGCGCAAGGGTTGTCTGAATTTCGCCCGCGGTCACGCGCGGCCCGCACTCTTTCCCCTCGCCTGGTCGTCGGCAGCGGAACCGCGCGCGAGCGCCTTCCGATCGTCGGGTGGGAACGCGTTCCAGTCCCGCTGACTCGTTCGGCCTGGCTAACTTGACTCCCACTCCTGCCCATACTCGGTGCCATCTCCCCAATCTCACGCGCCTCAAGCACCCTGGTCTGGTGGGGCACGGCAAGAATGCAGCAGGCCCTCTTTCAAACCCCAGCTCATGCTCCTCCGAACTCTTCCTCAAGCCCAGCCTCACTCCCGCGCGCATCCTTGCTCTGACCGCCTGTAACTTCTTTCGGCGAGCCCGGGGACCCGGGGGGAAATGACAAGGGGCTGGCCTTCTCAGAACGCTCGGAGGTCTCCAGGCCTTCTGAGAAACTTCCTCCGCAGTCCCCGAAATCGCAGGAGGCCTCTCGGAAGGCTGGAGGGCTTCCGAGAAGCCCAGGCGCCGTCCGAGAGAGGGCCTTCCCCCCCTCCTGCAGCTGCTGCTCTCCCCCCGACGCACTCCTTCCTGCGCGCAGACCCGGCGGGGGAGAGGGGGGGGGGGCGGGCCCGAAGAGGCCGTGGTGACCATGTCCTCCATGGTCTCGGGGTCGAACTTCGCGAAGGCGCGCATGTTCTCGCGGGCCCCCGCCGCGGGAGGAGACGGGGGGGGAGAGGCCTCGGAGGCTCGCGCGTTCGAGGCTCGCGGCGGGCAGCGCTGGGACGGGTTCGGCGGCGGTCGCGTGGGAGGAGGAGGAGGAGGAGGAGGAGGAGGAGGAGGAGGAGGAGGAGGAGGAGGAGGAGGAGGAGGAGGAGGAGGATCGGCGGCACGTCGCCGATGGATCGGCGGCGGGCGCCCGATGGCACATCGGGGCGCGCTTCCGGCCCCCTGTCGGCGATGACTGGGCGGCTGGGGGTCCGGGAGCTCGTGCTGACAGCAGAAGCTCGGCCACAGGACACCTTCCACGAGGAACCCCACCCCGAGACCCCAGGACGTCCACTGACCTTTGGTGTGGGAGCGTCACGCTGCCCATGGCAACAACATCGGAACCTGGGGCATCCTGGAGGCAAGCAGGGTGTTTCTTGGCATGGGTCTCCACTGTAGCGTGTCGCGGCAACCGCCCCGGCAACACTTAGAGGCCTCCTAGGTAGGGGTCGGGGTAGATGGGGTCGGAGGATCGCACCGCATCGCCGATACATCGGCGATGCATCGGCGATGCGCTGGCGATGCATCGGCGCCGTCGACGTGGAACAAGTCGGGCTCCACATCGAGCCGCATCGGCGATGCACCGGCGATGCGGCGCGATCCTCCGACCCCATCTACGCGGACCCCATCTAGGAGGCCTCGAGCTGTGCCCTACGAGCGGAAAGCATGCCGCTCTGGGGGGGGCGGAAGGTCGGGCAAGGCTCAGGACGTCGACGCCTCAGGACCGGGCCGTGGATGGCGTGTCGCGCCAAGGAGCGGTGGGCCAGCACCGGCTGCGAGACACGCTGGGCTAAAGTTCCTGGCCGCCCATGTCAATAACAGCTGAAACTGTGTTCGCCAGCGTGGGCCCCAAACGGTGTGTTTCTAGCAACATATGCGTTGTGCAGTCGATGTGTTACAGTCAATAAAATGCAATATGCGTGGTGCGTGCTATATGTTGTGCGCAGCAAGTGCAACTGCAACGCATACAAACACACATATATATATATATAGAGAGAGAGAGAGAGAAAGAGAAAGAGAGAGATACAAGACTGCATTGGCGTTTCGCGCCATGCGCCTTCGCTTCAGCACCGCTCCTCACGGGAGGAGGTCAGGAAAACAGTTGTCGGGTTTTTCATCTGCCACCTCTAAGGTTTATCACTACCCATCCCTTCCTCCTCCTTTCCTCCTCTTCCGCCTCCTCTGGTGGTTGAGCCCATCCCTTGAAGAAGTAAGGAACGTTCCCATGACACGCCCAAGAAGTTGCACGCCGGCGCGCGCGGAGGGGTACCCAGGACAGGTTCCGAACACACGAAGACTGGGAACTCCAAATCTGGGTTCCCGCCCCCGCGCCCGAAAACACGGCCATTCGCCTGCACGCGATTTACAACATACTGCTGTTGTTGGGTGTGGCAGCGCGCAGCTTGCGATTGCGATTCGGTGTGGATTCATCCATGCGTGTCTGCATGTATGCGTTCATTGATGCATGTATGTCTCCACGTCTGCGTGTGTGCATCCACCTCCTGGCAAACCGCAGTATAACGTACCGCAGAGCAGCGTCACGGCGAAGGCGCTGCCACTCTGGAGGGCATCCACAAAAAAATGATGCCCCCTGATGGTGGAGGAGGGTTTGACATGGCCGCAGCAATATTTATCTCGAGCTTTTCGGCCCTAAGAGACTTGTCACCGTTCGCTTTTCGGTGCCACAACATGCCCGCCGTTAGCCCTGCAGTGGTGCTGCCAGAGAGCTTGGGGACCTCCCTCGGCCATGTCGACTACGCGCCAGGCCTCACGTTCGGCGAAGCCCTGCAGCACGTCGAGAACCAAAAGGCGAACGATCACCCGTGCATCAACGCCAGCAGGTTGGAGACGGCAGGGCAGTGCAGAATCGCCGATCTCCCCGCGCAGTTCGGGACGGAATGCGGCAAGATGATCCAGCATTTCGAAGATTATATGGGCGACTACGAGGCCGAGGTTCCTCGGGACACTCTGCGCGAGCGCGCAAAGGCGTGTAACTTCAAGGGCATGCCCGAGCCTTTCTCCCTGACGAAGGCGCCGCCTGGACAGTACTCCGTGCAGGTGTTGATTGCCAGGAAGTCCAACAGCAAACACGACATCTTGAAGGACGTGAACCTCTTGGGGGTACCGGCCAGGACGGACTCGTGCCTTCAGGTGTGTCGCGGGACTGGTCTGATATGGCGCTATGGCAACCAGTTTAGGGTTGGCCGCTTGACCGTGCAGTAAATGCTGGAGAAGCTGGAGGGCTACCAGCTGCGCTACCACACCGCGGTTCCCAAGGCTGGCAGGGGCACTTCCAGGAAGACGGCCGCGTGGGAGTTCAAGGAGGCATGGTACAAGTTCACACGTGATAAGGGGCCGCGCGCCAACAATGCCAACCAGCTCATGGCCTTCGCGGTTCGGGAGAGCCCTCGGCCAGAATATCCCATCTTTGGCTGGGAGGAGGTCACATCGAGAGGGCCCTCAACAATGATGCGAAAAGGCAGGGCAAACGCCAAGGGCCTCAAGATCTGGGTCTTTACGGTTCGCGAATCTGACCCTTGGTTCCTCAACAACGTGATCAAGCCCATCCTGGCTTCCACACTCAGGGCATTTGGCGTGGCGTGGATTGGCAAGACTCGCGTCGGGAAGAGCGCTGGGTCGAAGACCCTGGCCTTCATGATGAGCCGCGTGGAGATCGAGGAGCTGGAGCAGCCTGGAGAAAGCGAAGCGGGGGAGCTTGTCCCGACGATCGGGACCGCCAAGCACTTCGATTTCTTCAAAGGTGAGCCAGTGACCCGCGTGAAGCCCGCCATCTTTGACGACTGCGAGTTGGCTGTGGTCTGTGGTGAAGCGTTGGGCCCGCCGCAGGTGTGGCGGGCGGATGCCGAGCCACTCTGATCGGCAGAAGTGGCGCGACCTGCTCGCAGAGCTGCAGTGGCGAAAGATGGCGGCCACCCAGACGCTTGACTACGGCCACACCTTCTTTTTCGTCCCATTCCGCTCCTTCGCACGCGCGTGCGTGCCAGAGCCGCACAGACCTTGCCAGGGGTATTGTTCAGACGCTGTCGCGCAAATGGTTTCACGCATGATAAGACGCCCTCGAGGTGTGAGGTCGCCAGGAAAAAGCCAGCCATCATGTTCATGTACTATTGTTTGCCATTTTGCGGGGGGGGGGGCTGTCACCCCCGCGCCAGTAGATATATATATATATATGTGTGTGTATGTATGTATGTATGTATGTATGTATGCATGCATGCATGCATGCATGCATGCATGCATGCATGCATGCATGCATGCATGCATGCATGTATGTATGTATGTATGTATGTATGTATGTATGTATACATATATGTATATGTATATGTATGTATGTATATATATGTGTATATATATATATATAGATCAGTTCCTGTGCGGTGCGGCCAGAAAGCGTCGCCGCCACTGAGCTGATACCAGAAAAGTTCTCGGCGCGCGCGCGTCGCCCCTTGGGGGAGGGGGGGGGGGGGCGACGCACACAGAGTATCAGTATGGCTGGCTGACGCCGATGGGGGAGGCGAAGACGGGGCTGTGGTCAGGAAAATCCTGGAAACCTCGCGCGGCCACTTGAGACCCAACTTACGCCGGACCCGCGTCGGATTCACGTCGGGTTTCCGTCGGGTCAGCGTCGGATGTCCGTCGGACTTGCGTCGCAGCAATGCCGCGCGAGCGTCGTCCCACGTCTGACGGGGAGGACGTGTGGACTGGCTGGTCTACCTTGTGCGCGCCGCGCGAGGCCCCCAGGATTCTCCTCATACAGTGGAGGCCCGACTACACAAGAAACCCGACCCTGAGGCCCCAGGACGTCCACTGATTTTTTGGCGTGGGAACGTCACGCATTCCACAGCGAAACCATCGAAACCCGAAAAGCCCAGGGCACCCTGGAGGCAAGCAGGGCGTTTCTTGGCATGGGCCTCCACTGTAGAGGATGGACGGTACTGGTGGCTGGCGTGGAAGGCGGGCCAGAAGAGCCTGGACAGCCTCGGCCTCGGAGGGCTGCGACTCGCTTTAAGTCGGGCGTGTCCCCGGACTGGGGGATTTTCGACGAAAAATAAAAAACATCAAAAAATACTCCAGGATCTTCAAAAAATACTCAAAAACATGTAGAGGGAGGGTACATACTTAAGACTCGCTGTCCGGGCCCTCACGGGGAGTGCGCTCCCCAGGGGCTCTGACCGTGGGGAGGTCCTCCACGCCGAGGCCGACGAGGCATGGAAGAGGCGAAGGCGCACGAATGAGGAGGCGGGCAGCGACGAAGAGGAGATGGAGGAGGAGGAGGAGGAGGAGGAGGAGGAGGAGGAGGAGGAACAGGAGGAGGAGGAGGAAGAGGAGGAGGAGGAGGAGAAGGAGGAGGAGGAGGAGGAGGAGGAGGAGGATTTTTTTTTGTTTTTTTTTTTTTTTTTTCGACCCACGAACAGCCACATGACTCCGCTGGCGTGGCGAGTGCCAGCGAGAAACCGGGCCACAGTCGGGGCCGTGCCCCCGTGGCGCGCTCAAAGCGCGAACAGGGCACGCAAAAAAGGAGCCCGTGCTCCGCGTACCCTGATCGGGGTAGGGGGCGCCGGAGCCCGTGCTCCGACGCCCATCCTACCCACCACCTGCACCACAGGTGGCCGCGGTTTCGGACCCAGGGACCCCCCAGGACCGAACCAAAAAGAAAAACGAAAAAGGGGACCAAAAAAAAAAAAAAAGGCGCACGCGCGCCACAGGGCCTGGCGGGAGCCCATCCCCGCCTAGCAGCCCGAACCACCCGCCAGCGGGGGGGGTGTGACGGGGAATGGACGGTGGCCCGAAGCGAGGGAGGAGCCGGGGAGAGGGGGGCCCCCAGGAGGAGGAGGAACCCCACCTGGGACGCGCACAGGGACCCCGCGCCAGGAGGGACCTGGACGCGGGGGGGAGCCCGAGCCCGCCCCACACGAGGCCCCCCCCCCCCCAGGGAGAGCAAGCCGGGAGAGAGAGGCAAAGGCAAGGGAAGGAGAGCCGGCAGCCGAGGGGGGAGCCAAGGAGCGAGGGAGAGAGGAAGCGGCCACCGCCCAACCCCCGCCAACCCCCCCCCCCAGGCAAGGTGGGGGGGATTTTAGTGCACCCCAGGGCCCTGGTCGAAGGAGGAGGAGGAGGAGGGGGAGGAGGGGGAGGAGGAGGAGGAGGAGGAGGAGGAGGAGGAGGAGGAGGAGAGGAGGAGGAGGAGGAGGAGGAGGAGGAGGGGAAGGAGGCGGAGGAGGAGGCGGAGGAGGAGGAGTTTTCAACAGGCGCGGCGCAAAGCGCGCCAGGGGCACAGCTAGGCGACTCGGAGAAGGGGGAGGATGAGGAGGAGGAGGGGAACCAGAGTAAGCCCAAGGTGTATCAATGGTGCTGCAGCGCAGCACACCCTCCCGTCCCAAGGCCCCCTCTTCATGGGTCCTCACACGCCCTCGTGTATTCGCTGTCACTGCGCGGGGCGATCCCCTTGGGAGGCAAGCGCCCCCGTGGGCCTGCCATGCGAACGAGAGAGGTCATGTCCGAAAGAAGCGTGCAACGAGGGAGGAGGAGGAGGAGGAGGAGGAGGAGGAGGAGGAGGAGGAGGAGGAGGAGGAGGAGGAGGAGGCGACGGGATGACATTTGGAAGGGTCGAGGATTCGTGGGGGGGGGGGCGGGGGGGCCAAGTGCGCGCGTTGTCCTTGTGGATCTCCCGCAGGGGACTGGTGATCTTCCGCGTGATGCACGACAAGGTGGCGGCCCCCAGGATGACCGAAACGGCCCACGTGCCAATGGTGTACCCGAGCACCTGCAATTGGCAGCGAGGGTGCACCAGCACAGCAAAGCCTGCAAGAGTCCGACCTTTCGCCCTCCACCTTTTTGCATGCACTCCTCACGCACGCAGCCTCGTCTCCATCATCTGGGCGGAGCGACCGAAACTGTGCAAGCAACAGCTGCCCGAGTGTGACCGACTTGGGCGCCCGAATTGTTCCGAGCGCGCCGGAGTGTGATGTGATGTGACATCCTGGGCTCGGAACCACATTGACTCTCAACATCAGTCACGAATACGGTCTCAATGCGTTTCTGGACATCAGCGGCGCAGCAGGCGCCGCCCGGGGGAGGCCCGCGCAGCGCCCAGAGATCCACGAGGACCTCCGAACATGCACTATGTTTATGTCTGTTATCTCCCTCGAAGCATACGGTGCGGTTCCGACGCGGTCCCAAGTCCGTGCGGCCTGTGACCCACCCCGGCGGTGCCCACCCCTGCCGGTTGCAGGCCGATTGGCCTGCGGCCCTATCCGCCGTCGTCGCGCTCCCCCGCCTCCGCAGGGGGAGGGGCCGCCGGGCTTTCACCACGATTGCTGGAGGGGCTCGGGGACATACACAAAACAATTGACACGCATCCCAAACTTCCCCATGGGCTCCGTGTCTGGATGCTCGTCTTCCCCCCATCCACCTCTCCAGCTCTTCTGGGGAACCGACGAGTCTCCGTGCCCCTGTGTCCCTGTGTGTGTGTTTTGCTCCCCCTTCTGACTTGCGAGGGCGGGAGCCTTCCCGCCGCCCGGGCCGCAGCTCTGCAGGCCTTCGATGCATCCGAGCGCCCCGCCGCCAGGCGTCGGCGGAGAGGGCCGTGGCTCCCCCCCCGCAGCGCAGCCGCGCCTGGGACAGCCCTCCCCACGCCGTCGCCGGGGGGGGGTCCACCGTGTGCGTAGGGGGCTACATGCGAACCCTACCCCTACCCCCAACGATTTCTGAAGGGGAGGGTGGGGTTCACTTCGTTCGGGACCTCCCGAGCGAAGTGAACCCCACCCTCCCCCTCAGAAATCGTGTGGGGGGTAGGGGTAGGGTTCGCATGTGGCCCCCTAGTGCGGGCGCCCCTCTCCATCGGCATGGCCGCAGCTCTTCCTGCTCCGCGCGTCCTCCTGCCTCCTCCTCCTCCTCCTCCTCCTCCTCCTCCTCCTCCTCCTCCTCCTCCTCCTCGGCGCACGACCTCGGAACCATGTTGCAACAAAAAAAACTGACCCATCGTGCTCGTGAGCACGTACCAGTGACGACTCAGACGTGGCAGCTGCAACAATGCAGCTCGCCTGGCAAGCGCCGCACCGCCGCTGGCCCCCAGTGGACCGCTACAGCCCTGGCCAGGAGCCGCTCCTGCGGCTTCGCTGCCAGCGCTGGCGTCGAGCACAGATGCTTCTGTGGCCAGACAGCCGTGGCACTTGCCCGCGCGCCCCGCGCTCAAAAGATGGGCTCAGCCCTGGCTTCTGGGACGACATAAAGGTACCCATCGGTCGGATGAAGTGGTTAGAAGCACGGAGTAGGAAGCGCTGAAAGTAGATTGAGCTTCCGCCCGCCCCATGACGAGGAGGGAAGAAAGAAAACCGCTCGACTCTTGAAACAAAAAAGCGCCTAACATAGATTGGGACCTGGGGATCCCAAAATACGTGTACCCGCACCGCTACTCCCCGGACCTCTCCTGGGGCGCTTTTCTGATCAGGGCTTCGAGGCGAATCCAGCGATGGCGACGAGGGCCTCCCAAGAGGCCGAAAAAAAAGGAAAACGGGCGAAGGCTAGCGGTATGGCTACTGATCCCGGCCGCCTGTACTTGGGTCCCTCCTGTGCTTCTCCCTCGCGGGCCCGTGGCGGCCTGGCGGGCAGGCGGCCGGCGGGGGCGGGGGGCGGGGGATGGGGGCAGCCCCCATCACGAGGAGGAGGAGGAGGAGGAGGAGGAGGAGGAGGAGGAGGAGGAGGAGGAGGAGGAGCAGCAGGGAGGAGCTGAGGAGAAGCCTCAGAGGACGCGTTCTTGGCCACTCTACGAGCCGCGGCAGCGAGAGAGCCCAGCCGTGGCGTACACGAGGGCCGCCCGGGAGGCCCACGAGGGGCGTGCACGAGGCACGAGCAGCGCTACACATCGGTGCCTCTGGTCCCCAGAGATCCGACGTCGTGACCTTTTCCATACGGGAACCCTGGAAGTCTCGACTTTGCGACAAACCTTCGCCTTGATCATTTCAATGCGTGGGATCTCTACAGTCGGACTCGATTGGACGGGACACGCGAGAGAACACACGACCCTTTCCGAGGGCCACACTGCCACAGGAACGTAGGAAGCATGGGCCGCGAAACACAAGACACAAAGGGTACCTTTGATCCGGCAGGGTCGACCTACTGATCCGGGCCGCCTGTACTTGGGCCCCTCCTCTGTGCTTCTCCCTCGCGGGCCCGTGGCGGCCTGGCGGGCAGGCGGCTGGCGGGGGGGGGGGGGGCGGCGGATGGGGGCAGCCCCCAGGCGGGGGGGGGAGAAGGAGGAGGAGGAGGAGGAGGAGGGAGGAGGAGGTGGGGGGGAGGAGGAGGAGGAGGAGCAGGAGGAGCAGGAGGAGGAGGAGGAGGAGGAGCAGGAGCAGAGGAGGAGGAGGAGGAGGAAGAAGAAGAGGCTGGAGGAGGAGGCTGGAGGAGGAGCGAGAGTCGCCGGAGAGCGGAGCCCTGGGGCGCGAGGGCGAGGCGTCTTGTCTCGTGTCGCTGTTGCTGTTGTCGTTGCTGATGGTGGTGCCGCTGTTGGTGGTGTGGTTGTTTGTGGCTGTGGTTGCGGTTGTGCTTGTGCTTGTCGTGGTTGTGGTTGTTGTTGCTGTTCGTGGTTGTGCTTGTGCTTGTCGTGATTGTGCTTGTCGTGGTTGTGCTTGTGCTTGTCGTGGTTGTGGTCGTGCTTGTTGTTGCTGTTGCTGTTGCTGTTGCTGCTGCTGCTGCTGTTGTTGTTTATGTTGTTGTCGGTGTTTTGCTGCTGTTGCATAATGATTACCAAATAATCCGCCGGCCCCCTTGCGGGGCCACCAGGCTGTAGGGCGAAGATTCGCAGTTTCCTGTACCAGTTGCAGCTTCCAGTTTCCACTGTTACAGTCATGCTTCTTGCTGCTTACTGCTCCACTGTTACAGTTCTGCTTCTTGCTGCTTAGTGTTCCTTGTTGATGGACCGCGCGAGGGGGGAGGCCCGAAACGGGCATTTTTACCACGCCCTGAGCGTGTGCTCTGAATTGCTGGAGTGGGTAAACATTAACACCCCTCACGCAGATCGGCGGGGTCAGGGTCCAAAAACACACTGGATTTGCCACATTTCTAAAACTCGGCGGCACCCCTCACGCAGATCGGCGGGGTCAGGGTCCAAAACACATGGGATTTGCCACATTTCTAAACAAAATGCTGGCACCCCTCACGCAGATCGGCGGGGTCAGGGTCCAAAAACATATGGGATTTGCTACATTTCTGACATTCGGTGGCACCCCTCACGCAGATCGGCGGGGTCAGGGTCGAAAAACATTCGGGATTTGCCATATTTCTAAAACAATTGCTTGCACCCCTCACGCAGATGGGCGGGGTCAGGGTCCAAAAACGCAAGGGATTCGCCACTTTTCTGAAATTCGGCGGTACCCCTCACGCAGATCGGCGGGGTCAGGGTGCAAAAACATAGGGGATTTGCCACATTTCTAAAATTCGGCGGCACCCCTCACGCAGATCGGCAGGGTCAGGGTACAAAAACACGCGGGATTTGCCACATTTCTCAAATTCGGCGGCACCTCTCACGCAGATCCGTAGGGTCAGGGTCCAAAGACGCAAGGGATTTGCTACATTTCTGAAATTCGGCGGCACCCGTGACGCAGATCCGTAGGGTCAGGGTCGAAAAACAAACAGGTCCCGACGCTGCTTCACGGCGGCGCCCAGACCTCATGATTTAGATGTTGCATCTCCCATTATCCGAGACAGGGGGCCGGCGGCATGGAGCGAAGCCCTTGCGGATCATTATTGTTGGACCCCCTCCAGGCGCTTTGACGCTCTCGCCTGGGCGCCAGCTACATGTTCATCGAAAATGAGGCTCACGCTCGAGCGGTTTGGGGGGCGCCGAAAGCGGCCCCCCCAACAACAACAACAACAACAACAACAACAACAACAGCAACAACAACAACAACAACAACAACAACACCAACAACAACAACAGCAGCAACAACAGCAACAACAGCAACAGCAACAGCAACAGCAACAACGACAACAACACCAACACCAACACCAACACCAACACCAACACCAACACCAACAATAACAACAACAACAGTAACAATAACAACAGCAACATCAACAACAACAACTACAACACCAACAGCAACAGCAACCGCAACAGCAACAACAACAACAGCAACAACAACAATAACAACAATAACAACAACAACTACAACAACGCTCCCGCTCGAGACTTCCTCCTTTTTGGCTCAAGGCAGGTGCTCTTGCTCGCCGCCGAAAGCCGCCGTCCCAACCAAACCAGCGCTACCGCTCGAGAGGTCCTCCCGTTTGACCTTGGACAGGCGCGCTACTCTTTCTCTCATCGGCGCCGCCCCCAGCAGCAACAACGCTCCCGCTCGAGACTTCCTCCCTTTTTTACTCAAGGCAGGTGCTCTTGCTCGCCGCCGAAAGCCGCCGTCCCAACAAAATCAGCGCTACCGCGCGAGACGTCCTCCCGTTTGACCTTGGACAGGCGCGCTACTCTTTCTCTCATCGGCGCCGCCCCCAGCAGCAACAACGCTCCCGCTCGAGACTTCCCCCCTTTTTTGCCCAAAGCGGTGCTCCTCCTCGCCGCCGAAAACCGCCGTCCCGACAAAACCAGCGCCCCCGCCCGAGACTTCCTCCTGTCTTACGCTGGATGCTCTCTTTTGAACTGGCGCCGCGGCGCCGCTCCCGGCAAGAACAGGGTTCCCGCTCGAGGCGTCCGCCCTCTTTCCTCGGGGCGGCGCTGCTCCTCGCCGCCCGCCGACGGCCCCCGCCCCGACCAGACCACGGCTCCCGCTCGAGACCTCCTCCCTTCGTGCTCAAGGCGGTGTTCCTCCTCGCCGCCGACAGCCGCCGTCCAACAGAACCAGCGCTCCCGCTCGAGACTTCGCGCCTGGTCTTACGCTGGACTAGCGCCCTGCTCTCGTCAGCGTTGGCGCCGCTCCCGGCAACGACAGCGGCCCTGCTCGAGATTTCCTCCCTTTCTATTCAGGGCCAGGTCCTTGCCTCGCCGCCGACAGCCTCCGTCCCCGCCAAGGCAATCCTGTCGCTCGATACTTGTGCTTTACCCTTGGCTGGGGCTCCACTGGCGGTCTCGCATCGGCGCAGCAAGGCGCGGGCATGCGTTTTCGAGGCGGGATATGTTGAAATTCGTCGGAGGACCTCATTGGGCGGGAGACCTGGGAATGGGAACAACGGACCCCGCTATAAAACAATACCCCCCCTATGATGGGGATGGTTATCATGATGGTCGCATGCTTCGTGTGGAAACATCGCGCATGCGGGTAAAACGATTGTTGTTGTTGTTGTTGTTGTTGTTGCTGTTGTTGTTGGTTGTTGTTGGTATTGTTGTTGTTCTTGGGAAGCCGGGCAAGGGCTGCTAAATCCGTGGCTGCTAAAATCGACCTCCGGGAAATTGTCTTCGTCCTTCCGAGAAGAAGCCCGTTGACTGTTTCGCGTGCCGCGCCTCATTCCGGGAAGTTGTTTTTTCCTTCCGGAGGGCCGTTTTGGCAGCCACGGTTTTAGCAGCCCTTGCCCAGCTTTCGAGTTCTTGTTGGTGTTGGTGTTGGTGTTGGTTGTTGTGTTTGGTTGTTGTAGTTATGCTGTTGTTGTTGTCGTTGTTGTTTGGTGCTTCTTGTTTTTCTGATTTCAAATGTCTGCTTGGATGTGCTCTCTCTCTCTCTCTCTCTCTCTCTCTCTCTCTCTCTCTCTCTCTCTCTCTCTCTCTCTCTCTCTCTATTTTTGCGGAGTCGAGGGGGACGGGGACCAGAACGATCAGGACGCGGAGGGGCGCACTGGTGCCCATGCGCCCCCTTCGGGGATCTCCTGACCCGGGTCAGTCCAGACCCTGGTCAGCCAGGCCCTGCAGGATCCTGCAGGATCCTGCACCCAAGCCCGGGTCAGCGCCAAGGATCCTGCAGGATCCTGCAGGATCCTGCACCCAAACCCGGGTCAGTGCGACCCTGTCCCTGCAGGATCCTGCAAGATCCGTAGCTCTGGCTGACACCCGTTTGCATTGACCCCCGTCTCGAGGCTCCCGCCCCCCTCGGAGAAGCGCACGTCCGGGCCGAGCACAACACCTCCTGCACACCGCCACCCAGGCGGCTCGGCCAGGCAGCGCACGCCACCGGGCAGGTGCTGTGAGAGTTCTGCGCGCGCGCGTCGCCCCCTGGGACGGGGGGCGGCGCACGCGTAGTACAGTCATCGGCCTAACCTAAGGAACGATAAATAAGGAACGAAGCCCCATATTTGCTCCCGGGAATAACGCACAAGGAACGATTGATAATGAATAACGCATAGGCAACGACAGATAGCACAGTCAAACCTAGGGAACGACCGAGCCCCTTTTGAGAAGTAAGTGTTCCCTATTCAAGCCGCTCGCTGTACTGTGAGTTATGCGCGCGCGTCTCGCCCCCTTCGACTACGCGCAAGAGTGACCAATTTCGCCAGAGTGACCTTTGGTGCGGGCCCACGGGGGTCTCCCGATCGCCGAGCGCGGTGCGGTGGTAGCGCCTTGCGCGCTCGTGTTTGGTCCCCCCGCGGCCCCCTAGAAGCCGCGCACCAAAGGTCACTCTTACCCAGGGTCACTCTTGCGTGTAGTCGACCCCTGGGGGGGCCGACGCACGCGTGGAAGCATGTTCGGGTGATGCGGCGAGGGCGGGGTGCACGGTTTCCCCCGGGGCAATAGGCGACCCAAGGAGGAGGAGGAGGAGGAGGAAGGAGGAGGAGGAGGAGGAGGAGGAGGAGGACGGGGAGGAAGAGGAGGAGCAAGAGGAGGAGGAGGAGGAGGAAGAGGAGGAGGACGGGTCGCCTAAGCCCTTCGGAGAAACCCTCCAGGGCGGGGGAGCGAGGGAGGACGTCGGCGAGGTTCGAGCCTGGCGCTCCAGGCTGACTTCCAGCATCTGCCTGCGGTCGGCGAGCTCGGCCTCGACCTCGGAGATACTGTCTCTCGTCTCCCTCTTGTAGGTCGCCGTGCGCTGCACGTCGACCTCGTGTAGGATGAGGAGGAGGAAGAAGAGGAGGAGGACCACGGAGGAGGTTCGAAGGAGATAAAATTCCATAAACACTACGTACAGGATGGGGCCGGACCACAGGGAACCGTCCACAAGAAACCCAAACGTGAGACCCCAGGACGTCCAAGGATTTGTGGCGTGGGACGTCGCGCTCTCCATCGCAAGACCATCGAAACCAAAGAAACCCAGGGCACTCTGGAAGCAGCAGGGATGTTCTTGGCATGGGTCTCCCCTGTATGCCGCCGTGCATACATCCAGAGGACGCGGGGGGGGGACGTGCGCACGGCTCCAAGAAGGTTTGACTTCGCGTGGCGGCTCGAGCGCTTGACTGGGAGAGCCGCATCGGAGAACCCCCCTGAACAGGATCTAGAGGACCAAGCGCAGCGGAGGCTCCTCTTCGTGAAAGGAGGCGGAGGAGGGACTGCTTGAGGGAAGAGTCTGGGACAACCGAACCTGTTTTTAGCAAGTTTGCCAGCCGTGGCAAAATGGTCCTCCCCTCCACCTTCTCCTCCACCTCCTCCTCCTCCATCACTATCTCCATCTCCTCCTCCTCGTCCTCCTCCTCCTCCTTTTCCTCCTCCTCCTCCTCCTCCTTTTCCTCCTCCTCCTCCTCCTCTCGACAGGAGGGTGTAACAATCGATGGTCCGAAAGCTGTTCGCCATCGCCTGGCCGCGGGGGCGAGGCGAGCGGCCAACTCGACACGGGCACCAGATCTTTGAACTCCTTGAAAACCGTTCTCCAACTGCCTGCCATTCTGCATCTCGCCATCGCTCGGACGTCTATTCCCCGTGCATGTTCCGGTTGTGTGCGTCTACTTTTCGCAAGACGACCCAGCGTGCTCCTCGATGGTCCTCGCCAGAATAAAACGCGCACGTCCGAACGATGCCAAGTCGTGCAGTTGCGGGGTCGCGGGGGGATGTTCTCGCAGGTGTCTCTGTTTCCCGCTCCGCAGCCGAGCTTGACGTTTAGCGTGGGTGAGCCAAGGACGATAGCGCTACTGAGCTGTACCCAGCGTTTGAGACAGGTCAAATTCAAAGAGGGGTCAGCGAAGGGCGGTTCGGCAACCGGCTGCAAGTGACCGATTTGCGCAGGGCGCCTCGAGGCACCCGACGAGCGCACGGATCGGAGAGGACTCCGGGAAGCGGAGACGAGGACGGCCACTCGCAGTCGACTTCGCAACGCCACCCCACCCCCCTGCGGACCCCAGAGAGGAGCGGAGCGGAGTGGGGAACGCCGAGGAGCGACGGTTCGAGGCCACGCCCCGCGGCCGCCGCCCTCAGCCGCCCACGCGGGCGACGCGGCGCGCAAAATGCACGGCGCTGCGGGGGCTCACGCCCAGCCCGCCCGTGGACGCGGCAAGGCGGCCCCGCCCCGAGGCCGAAAATGAGCGCCCGGCCGAACGGGTTGGAGACCACGGACCCGGCAAGCGGCCTAGTGGAAGTGCAAGCCAGCCAGGCCCGCCGCAGCTCTCCCGACGGGCCGGGGAGGAGGGGTGCTGACGCTCCGCGGAGCCGCGCTCACCCTTGCAGCCCAGCTCGCTGCCCAGGCGGCCCAAGATGAGCTGGGAGCCTCGCGGCTGCCAGGGCAGCCTCGGCGCCGCGGAGCTCGCCCATGGCGGCCGGCAGGGCGCGATGTTCGCGCACCACCCTTGCCCTCGCCAGCCGCTGGGGATCATGCGGCGGTTTCGGCCGCGCGGGCGGGAGCGGGCTGGCCCGCGGGGGGGCCCTTCCGCGCACCCACCGCCAGGTCTCCGCCCGCTGCTCCCGTGCCTCGGCACCGGGCGTCGTGAGCTCCCGCGGCGTCGGGGCCGGCCATGCCCAGGGCGTCGGAGGCCGCCGCGCGCGCGAGCGAGGCCGCCTCGGCCGCCGCGGCCACGGCCTGGGCGCTGAGCGCCTCGAGCTCGGCCTCGTTCTCCGCCACGCCGCTCGCCACATCAGCTGCGGGGCAGGGCGGCTCCAGCTCGGCCTCGAGCTCGGCCGCCTCGTTGAGGGCCCTGGACGCCTCCAGGATCGCGGCGTCGAGGTCGGCCGCGGCGTCGAGGTCGGCCTCCGTGCGCCCGCGCCTGCTGCGCGCGGCGTTCCGCCGCCGAGCGGTTGGGCCGCCTGGGCCACCGAACCGAGGCGAGGTCCATCCCGCACGGGGTGGGGGGCACCCGTGGGCGAGCGCGGCGAGGGAGGACAGAAAAGTGGGGCGGCGCGAGGGGCGCCCGTGGCGCGGGCTCGGGGGCCTTTGGTCAGGGCCGAGCTGGCGCTGGACCCAAGGGAGGAGGAGGAGGAGGAGGAGGAGGAGGAGGAGGAATAGGAGGAAGAGGAGGGGGAAGAGGAGGGGGAAGAGGAGGAAAAGGAACGAGACGAGCACAGCGTTATGACAGATTCTGAAGTAGAGGGGGAGGAGGAGGAGGAGGAGGAAGAGCAGGAGGAGGAGGAGGAGGAGGAGGAGGACCACGATCCACTGGATTCCGCCCAAGTCGGGATCTCCAGCCTCGATAATCTTGTCGGTGTAGATGAGCGTGTCCCCGTCCGCAGACATGACCTCTCCGACGCTCTCATTGGGACGCTCGTGGCCCCTCAGAATGCGAGCCGCGACGGCCCGGGTGAGCGTGCAGGGGATCTCCATCGCCAACCACTGCCAATTCTCCTCATCACTGCTGTTGAATTTGACGACAAAGTCCATACCGTGCGAGTGGGAAACCATTCTGCCGTCGAAATCCATGATGAAAATTACGCCTTCCGTCCCGTGGACGGTCTGGCTGAAGTTCCCCAATCTCCAGGATAAATAGTCCAGCGTGATGTCAGAGCTCAAGACAGCCGCCACCTCTCCATCGACCATGTGAGCCCTTCCCGCTCTGAGCGCAATGCTTGGGTGCGGTGCCGCACCATCAGGCGAGCTCATGGTCATGTACGGCCCGAACCACACCAAACTCCCATTGGCCGCAACCGTGTTGCTGTACCTGTAGGCGGAAGGATACCGGTACCACTACTCCCAATACCTCTCCAGGTGCGCTCTGACCAAAATTTCGAAGCAAATCCAGCCGCGGCAACGACGGCCGCGCCAGACGAGCCGCGGCATCGGTGTCCTTCCCTCCCCTCGAAGGTGTCGGCATTGGCTCGTCGCTCAGGGGCACCACCCTCTGACCAGGGGGTCGAAGCTGTAGTTCTCGCGCAGGCTCAGGATGCCCCCGGTGGCGGGGTCCAGGGAGAACTGGTACGTCTGGCCGTGCTCGAGGCCCTCCGCTCCGGGACAGAAAGTCGGGCAGCCGGACGCGTTCCAAGCGGCCGGCGGCGTGAACTCCATCGTGTACGTCTCGTGCGCCTTGTCGACAAGGCCGGCCCTGGGAGGGGCATGGAGTGTATACCAAATACCATATGATCCCGTGTAATGCGGGTGCGCGGTAAGGATGCAAGGGCCCTGGAGGGCCATGTTGACGTTTTCCGAACGAGGCTAGCCAACGAAAATTACCGCGAACGACAGGCGGAGGGGGAGCACCCGTGCGAGCGGAAAAT